GACTCTTTTCTGGCACGATGCTCGTAGGAGCAGTGGTTACGCTGTCACAGCAAGAGAATTCCTGGTTTAAACCCACTGACTGGAAATATACTGAAACAAACATGTCCATTAACCTGCTTGGGCCTTTTTGTGTGGAGTTTGCATGTTCTCTCTGGGTACTCTGGCTTCTTCCCACAGACATGCACGCCAGGCTGATTGGTGATGCTAAATTGCCCAGGTGTTCATGTGAGCACGAACGGTTGTCTCTATGTGTTAGATGTGCAATAAACTGGTGCACCCCGCCTTTCCCCCTATGACAGCTGGGACGGGCTCCAGCATACCTTTACCCTTAGCTGGACAAGCAGTTTAAGACAATGGGTGGATATTATTCTTCCCTACACCTAACCAGAGTTTTGTTGACTGTACCTATTCAAACTGTAAGAGAAAACTGAATCGAATATAAACGAATTGAAAGCTTTCTTTTAGAAAGCCTTTCTGGTGCAAAGTCATGAAAGCAAACTTCTCTCAACAGCCATCACACCACAAAATGAAATAAATAATAAGAATTCTACTGCTCTCCACTCTTCTCTTTCCCCATGTGTCTCTCACCCTCTTTGCTCATATATCACTCATTTGCCCAAAGTAATCCACATACCACTTTGCCTTTTCTTCTTAATTTGTATTCACCTTTTCTCCTGCTCGAAGGTTTTCATTTCTCTGTCTTACCTTGCATTTTATTCTTTGGCTGCGCTTTTTACCTTGATCGCTTCACTCTGTTCTTTTAAGAGTAATCTTGTCCTCTTTTTATTCTCTTTCACTTTTGCTCTCTTTTTTTTTTGTTAATTAAGAGGGACCGCGCACAGATTCAATTTCAGTGTCAGATCAAATAGATTTGCATTGCATATGCTGTTTTGCTTACTGTGCTGTGCCTCCTCTGTTAATCAAGACGTCATCTGTTCTCATGCCTTTTTCTCTGGCTTTCACCAGAATTTCAAGTTAGACATTTTAAGGAAGAAACACCATATTGATAACTTATTTCTCTCTCTCTCCGAGGGGCGAGTCATGTTTCCTCTTTCATCTTCCATTCATCTCCTCGTACTACTTTTTCCCTCTGTTTTTCATCACCTTTTTTTTTTCATAAGTGTTGGTATTGTGTCCTTATTTGCCTGTCTCTAAATACTTGTCACATTTTTTAATTCTTAATGTCTTTGTTCTCTAAGTATAACCATCTCCATGTAGTCATTCAGTTCCTAATTACTGGGTCTACATGAAAACAGATCATAGTGTCTTTGAAGGCGCTAACTTTTTTGATGGGGCCAAACCAATTACCTCTCACATCATGAACAACTGACAGCTGCTTTCTGTATTGGTGAAAATCTAAGATAAGGCAGCGAGTGTGAATCCATTCCGCAAGCAGAACAGGAGAAAACAAAATTCTGTTGTTGTTTTTTTATTTGTTAAAATTATTTAACGACTGGTCTGAGTAAAACCAAGAGTCGTAACTGTTCCTTCTATCATTTCCCTCCGTCTTGTTGTTTTAGCTACTCTATTATCCTCTATAGTGCAATCTGTCAGCCTTTCTTCTTCTCAGAACATATCTCATCCCTCCCCTCGTGTTTGAAATCTCTTTGGACTCCAAATGCTAATTTAGTCAGGCACTTAATCAGACATATTAATTCCATATCTCCCCTGATTGCACTAATTCCACTCTGCAACGAGTTCCTGTGCGGCATCCTCGGTTCAGCAGCATTTCAAACTGTTGTGCTAACCAAGGTCTGTAAAAGTGTTTCTTTTAAACAGCAAATTATAATGCTTTTACAGTGAATCTTTTGTAGGGATAATATGTTGAGGACAATGCTACATGCTGTAGTCTGTGATGTATCCCATTTTTCTCTTAGCCTTCAGCCCTACAGGGCTTCCAATTCTATTGGACTTGAAAATAGCCATGTTTTCCATCACTCTAAAACACTACAGATGAAACTATTCTGTTACAATAGACAGACCTCATCCTGCACCGGTTTCTGAATTGCAGATAAGAAGATCTGGCAGTATGACATCATACCATCAGACACCATATTTCAAGCAAGTCTGGTTGTCAGTAGGCGTGATGATCAACTGTACTAGCACATACAGGCATTCAAACATACACAGGCACGCACACACACTGACACACACACACATGGAGAAAAAAATCTGAATTTTCCAGAAAAGCCTGTAAGCCCTTATATTGTCTACCAACAAACTGTGCACATAGCTGAGGCATGTATTAATTAATAACATAGATTTGGTCACATTCTAATTTAATTAAGTCCCAGATCATGTAATTGAGAGAATTATGAAATGGCTTTCTTTGTTCCAGATAATTGTATTCTATCTAAATGCCTACTTTTAAGTCTGTTAATTTGTTTTATCTCGTCACCATTATCTTCCTCATTCTGTTGTTTTTAGTAGAAAATATAGCTTGGAATCCATGTGTGCTTGTACAACACATCAAAGCAAAGTTGAGAGATTTCATGGATCTTTTAAAGCTCTTGATATAATCATACCGCTTTTAGTAGTAAAATACAATATAAAAGAGGAACAGTATGCACACATTTGCTCTAACATGTCTATAGACATTTAATTTTTAACAAAGGTGTTTATTGTGTATACAATGTGTTTCTTTCTTTTTTCCTTTTTTTCTCTTAGTGTCACTTACTGGTTGGTGAGAGCCTTCTACTAGACACACATGGATTTACCATTAGATAATGACAAATGGAAGGCTCAGCTGAGCTGATTTCAGCACTTACTGCTCCTTTGGGAGATGCATTTACCACACTGCAAACCACACGGGCCAGCCCCACCAAAGACCTTAATTGAACGAGTGGATGTGTAGTCAGTTGAATCATCCTGACATGCCTTTCTGGTCTTTTCTAGTGGGTAATGTAGCGTGACCTGCTGGTCAAAATATGCTGAGATCCTGGACAGAAAACAGTGAAGTAAGACTTTGTTAGGCTACATGGCTTGTTTTCTTTTTTTTTAAGGCTGAGTATGGGTTTAATCTGGTACAAATAAGTGTTGTTCCTTTTAATTTAACTACAACACCTTAGTGCTGCTTGTCTGTATTAGACTACATTTTTATCTTGTTTTTTTTCTTATTAGCTATTTTTTATTTGCAAACTGTCACTATCCTTACCTGTTTAGACCATTTTTTTTAAAATAACACACTGCATAACGATGTTTAGAAAATAAAAATGTATAATTTTGATAACATTGGGGATACATTTTCAAGGCTTGGCATTTATTCTATTATTCTAGATCATCCATGGGTTGCTATTTCTTACCTTGTAGTTAAATTACAAAATATAGCATACTGACTGAAGAAACACATCATACTTTCTTATCCTACAAATGTCCAAACACCATCAAAGTCGCAGCTGTCTCTGACAGACCAGACTTTTTTCTTAATTAGAAAAAAACACATACGTCTTTTAAAATACAGGATCGAAACATGCTTTTTAAAAATGTAATAATGTAGATCTTTGTCAGAGGAAGAGGAAAGTCAGAAGGTGTTTTCTGTGCTCTCTGTGGAGGATAGAAGGTGGGGGTGGAAGGGTGGTTACAATATTGATGTTGTTGATAATAACAACAGTGATAATGATTATAGCACATAGTCCATATCCATCATCGCTATCATCTACTTTGTCGACATAATTGGTCATTTTTAGCAAAGTTTAAGACAGATAGCACTGAATACTTCTCCCCCAACTAATTGTGTTACAATATTTATTGATAAACTTACTTATTCCAGTAAGGGATCTTGTCATTGCTTACCAATTTTAAACACGTATGTGTTATTTACAGCTATAGACTTGGATTGAGGTATACTTTTATTATTGATGATAAATGATATTCTATTTATATTCCTACATATCATCAAGATTCATGACATGTTCATGAGTGCTAAACTATTCAGGTTCCTTTTTTCTTCCGTGAGCTACACTGTTGTGCAAAGTCACCTCTCCCCTCCTTTCGATGAGTTTATTTTGAGTCAACTACATCTGCTATAAATAGACCTACTCACCAAAGATCACCAAATCTGTGCCAATTGCTAGTTGTCAAAAAGCTCTGGGGCTAGTGGGGGAAATTATTATTATTATTGCTGTTATAATTATTAAATGTATTCAATTGTATTAAACTGTATATAACTCATTGATGTCCATTCTATTCTGCTCTAGTCTTTTCAGTTTAACTTTGCATTAAATATGAGAAAGACATCTCTATGTTTGCAGTGTTTTGTGGCTATTAACTGGTATGTCTTTGGATTCAATGTAACCGTAATATAGAGACCATACTTACTGGCAATTTTGTGTAAATGAGAAATCTTTAATCAGGAATGGCTGTTATGATTGCCTGTTACTGTAGTAACAACCCACTTGATCAAACATACACTTATTTAGATTCAGGGTTCCTGCACTATACTAATGGATGCCATGCAGGATGGAGAGCTTTATCTCCATTTGCTTTTGTCCCCCATAATTTATTCAACAGGGTCTGTCCTCTGTGTGTCCGTGTTTGTGTGTTCAGGCTCTGAGTGTTTGTGTGTGTGCTGTGTGCATATGTGTTTTGCAGTGTGTTTGTGAAGTTTTATGGCTTTGACTGTCCCGTCGTCCCTGAGGAATGAGCTCTTCCGACATACAGTAGCATACTATAAAGTCCCTCTTGTTAGATGGAGGGTCTCAGAGGTACTAAAATATCAGCATCAGCAGAGAGTGCTGAGGAAGTAGTTGAAAGGAAAACTAACAAGATGACTCAATGATTATTTAGAAACAGTAAAGAGAATTTTGAATTAGGTGTACTCTATCCTGGGGGTTTAAAAAAATTGCATTTTTGGTAGCTGAGTAGATGCATCATGATCTTTCCAAAAATGTGCATTATTCATGGACTCTATTCCATGGAGCCCGGGGAATGGAGTGGACAGAAACTGTATTGCTACAAATCTATTTTAAAGTTTGCTTACATTTATCCTCTTTTATTTGCAGGTCCAGCATTTTGGTGGATTGAAAGCTAATATGTGGATGATTAAAACCCCTTGGATCTTGACTGAGCTGGCAGGTAAGACTTAGGCAGAGCTTGGCTCAACCTTGGTGATTTTCTTTCCTGGTCAAAGAGATATGCATGGTTTGTCTGATGCTTTCAGAGAAAAAGATGCACACATAGAAATGTGTAAAAAATTATTTGTTTTGCTTGTCATGCATATTTCATTGATATGAAATAATGTATAATTTCACACCTATGTCTAAACCCCTAAACCCATTGAAAACAAGGACATTATCAAGAAAACATCTTTTTGGTTCCGAGAAAATTCTGATAATTTGCCTGGGGTTTTTTTGTTTTTTTTAAATCAAAGAACACTTTTGATACATTTTTCAAGATTTGGCATCAGAACACATCTAAATGTGTGGAATTAAGTCCAGTTAACACATTGGCAAATAAACTGGTCAGTTAATAACCTCATTGATGGAGATGGACAGAGAGAAACTTGAGACTTTACCCCATCACAGTGAAATGAGAAATGACTTGATGTTAGGCTGTGGATATAGTTGAAAAAGGAGCTAGAACGATTGAAGTGTAAAACTAAAAAGAAGCTTATGACTCTCAGTAGTTATTCTATGCTGGTGCCTATGTTCACAAAAAGTCTATTTTCACTAGACGTTTTACCTTTGTGTCAGGCGTTTTTTTTTTTTTTTTCCTTTTTTCTTTTTGTATCTAAGAGCGTTGTTGGACTGCACACAGATATATGCCTCTGGAGTGAACAGCTCAACTCATGCATGTAACTTCTACTACATGTCTGTTCTACATTTGGTGTGAACTGCTGTCGCAGTGTCAGAAAGCTTTTACTGGCAAACACTATTCCTCTAGGCTGATGATAGTGTTTCCCTGCATTGGAAATATGTTGTCATAATTTAATACGTCTATTATCCCTGTCACAATAAATCATCCTGGAGTTGTTGTGTTTTTTTTTTTTGACCAATGCAACCATGAACCCGGCGCTGACTCTTTGGCATCTTTGAAACTTTGAAACCCTAGTGATGTCTTAAAAGCTCACTAATAAAAGTGTTGTCTGTCAGACCTTTTTAAAAGCTACATGGCATTCAACTTATTTGATATGACTCACATGAATAGTTGCTTTTGTGATTCACTTACTTCAAAGCTTCTTTTCATGTGGTATTTCTCTTATTTTCTCTTATTTTATCCACCATTTATATCCATCCCTGTGGGGTAGGAGATTGAAAGTCTTCATGGAAATGATATTGAATTTGTGCAATGGAATCAATTGACATGTTTTTATTTCCTCTAAAATGCACCCTTTGCCTTTGGTGCCAAGTATCAGAAAAACAGCGGGTTACATACATGTTCCCAAACGTGTGCAGTCACAAGTGGTTTTGTGTTATTGAATGAAAAATATTGTAATTAGTCTCATTACAGAACAAGTGCAAATGTACAATATGCCTTTCCAAAGAAGCCCTCTGTGTTTTCAGAATCTGTCTCTGGTGTCATTTAATTAGCAAACAACCCGATGGATCGCAACAAATTAGGATAAAGGCAGCTTAATTTTAAAAGTGCATGCTTTTATATTACTCCAGAAAGTGAGGATGTTGTCACTTTGTGAATATTTACAAAACCACATGTGAGGAAAAGGTTGAAAGCTACTTAAAGTAAAAAAAAAAAAATCATGAATTGTTCTTTTGAATTTACTTTCAAACCATTAGAGGTTCTTCCTCAGTGTAACTATTCTAAAAACAGTTTAATCTGTGCCACATTGCCTTTATTTGACATCTGTACCTTCTAGCTAAGCTTCTTTTAGCTGATTCTTTGCCTAACTGACCTTCAGACTAGCTGATGTTAAAAAGGTAGTGACACATCAATCAAGGGGACATTACAAGACTGTGCCCTTGGACATGTTAACACTGAAATGATATTAAAGTAAGTCGCATGTTCAGGAGTGTGTGTGTGTGTGTGTGTGTGTTCAAGCATTTTAGACTGCCTACAACACTTTTTATTTTGTCAGTGGATAATCATACATAATGATCTTAGTCCAACTGGATTATAAGTGTGTAATGATTAATCCGAAAGCTCAATAAATTAATTCTCAAATTCCGGTCTTATTTGAATATATTTTCTGACATTGCAGCTTCTAGCACTGTCTTCTGTTTTTAGATACCATCAGTGTGCTCCCGCTTATCTCTCATGTTCTCTCCATCCCAAACTCAATTACAGGGAGACCATACTGCCTGCATCACCAGGTTCACAGCCTCAGTACGACCTCTCCACAGCTCGGACAGACTCAAAGTGATGCATGCTCACCCTGACCTCAACCAGACACTAGAGTGACAGCAGTATACAGACTGACTCCTTCATTCGACATCCTTGAAAACTAGTTAGCAGCTATTTTCTGCCCACAGCCTCTCTGAAATGTTCACAGGGTGACAAATGATTTTATCAATATCTCTTGTCACCCGTGAGCCCCTACTGCCGACACAGCCCTCACTGTGAAACAAGAAAGCTGTCACCCAGTTTGTGAAAATCTGCAAATGCTAAGAGCACACATTAAAGACCCACAGTTGCACACGTACACAGCTTGTGTGTGAAAATATGCAGAGGATTTTTATATTTTAATTTGAGTCAAAATGTGCACATCTTTACTTGAGTGTGCATTAGTTATGAGTGAGTGCAATAGTTGTGTATGTATGCGTTTTCAATGCTAGCAGACCTAAATGAGGCCCTTGGCACTTGTAGCCAATGAGGCTAGAAAATGAGTGTGTTTCATTCATCAGGAAACAGTCCAAGGGTCATCCTCTGACAGAGAGGGATGCTGGTGCCTTTGCATTTGCTCTGCATTTATGTTAAGCTGACCCACACCTGCATGTCCAACTATGATGTAATAATGCCACATCACACACCACACTTTGGTGTTAAGTGGACTTTAAGAAATACCTGACCTCTAGAAAGTCACAAGTGGGGAATGTTTACCTTACAATAACTTTTGCCTTTAACAATATAAAAGGGGAGAAAATGTAATGCTTTCCATGATGTGAAGCTTATTTCCAAGAGTCCACAGCTCCTGGCTGTGAACACAGCTGCAGCTACTCTGCCTGACTGATCCATGTGAAGATGGGGCGGGATACAGTTGTTGTTATTATGACTTCACCTGCGTCTGTGGTTAAATCCATTTTAATATGAATATGTCCAGGTGTCCTACTAGTTGAACCTGGACTGAATCTATCAGCTATATATTACCAACACACCACTGGTGTTTTGATACAGAGCCAGCAGAACAATGACTGCACCCACACGACCGCATGAAGTCAATATTTATGTGTTACAACAAGAATCCAATAACCAAAGCACGGCCATGGCCACAGCCAGAATCACAGCGGGAGCTGTATCATTGCAAGGCTGTAATTTTTGACTTAAGCGAGGCGACCGTCTGTTTCTTCAGCACCAATTTTTGCAAGACCTGATGAACCAAATTCTACAGTTGGCTTTTTCAATGCAGCTATAAAGACCTTTGTCTGAACATTAGACAGACACAACATTCAAAATTGTCTAGAAAAAAAAAAAAACATCTTCTGTGACCTTTTTAATAGTTTTTGTAAGATACAAACTGACAGATAAGCTGTTACTTTAGATAGAATCAGACAGAAGATTGTCTGAACTCTGTGGTACATTATCCATCTTTAATCGCAAAAAAAAAAAAAAAAAAAAAAATTTAGTTCCCTCAGATGTTCAATTTTCATTGTGCACAATCTCATAAAGAATGTGGAAAATTTGAAGCTGAAGTATGCAACTAACGTGAGACAGCCTATTATGTGAAACCAACAGTGCATGTACAATTGTCTTTTCAACAGAAGACATCTTTTGCCTAGTAGTTAAACTGTGGAAATGAACAATATTAGCATATTTATAGACCCAGGTTTTTTTTAGTAAAGAAAGAAGTAAGTTTTTGACAAGTTAACTTATATGTCTTAAGAAATGTCTGGAAGGGATCCCATTTATTAACATCTGAGGTCCCCAGTTGCCTATATACTTAAAATGTCAAAATGTCACTTCTTTTTCTCTGCTGTCAAATCTTGGAAAAGAGAAGTCTTTACTCTCCATCTTTCTCTCTTGTTCTATATATATGTGTGTGTGTGTCTGTGACACTCAAAATACTGTTGAGGTAATGTTAATATTCATATGATCACACATACAGCTCTCCTCAGACGGGCAGCAACCTCTTTGCCCTCTCCATTTCTATTTAAACATGTTTTGGTGTCGTCAGAAAGAAAAATCATGGAAACATGTACATTTTTAATGTAAATTCTTTGTTATATCAAACTATTTCTAAAGTCTTTCTCAATGCACATGTGGTTTTATGATAAGAACTGCAAAATGCATAGTGTGTTTAAAAAGGTTTGCTCTTGGTTAAGGTTAAAATTTTATAATTGCAATACATAAGCATTATTCTTAGTCTTAGTAATAGTATTAGTAATAGTCTTAGTATGATGGAATTATCTTTTTTAGCGTATCTTAGATCATTTCCATATGTATGTTCTCATTTTTAAGTAGTTTAAGTATTTTTAAGCATTTTAACATTAACATTATTTGTCACTGAACACATTTGATAAGCTTATTTATAAGAGCATGCTGGGTTACTCAGTTTTTGTTACATGCATCAGATTCATTTCACCATCTTGTTATAGATGACACAGACAAGCTGTGAGTGAAAGAATGTAAGGCTGTGGGCATGGGAGCAGCTGCCAGTTTGTCTCACTTGGCTAGTTAGCACCAATTCAAAGTATTTGGCTTGTCTGTTTCACTTGAGTGGTTAAAAGAAAGACACTGAAAAAGAGCTGCAGTGTGACCATTTTCTTGTTTTTTGTTTTGTTTTTTGTTTTTTTTTTTTGGGGGGGGGGAGCCAGCATCCCTCAACATTACATTTTAAAGTGGCTTAAAGTGCCCTTAACTGCAGAAATACAAGGCACAGTAATTGTGCATATGAAATCATAAATGTCGCTATATACATATAGCATATATCAGTATTATAAATTAAAATCCATCCTGTTATACAC